ATTATCCATCCATCATCCATCCATCCATCATTAAACCATCCATCAATCCATCCATCCATCAATCCATCCATTATCCATCCATCATCCATCCATCCATCATTAAACCATCCATCAATCCATCCATCCATCAATCCATCCATTATCCATCCATCATCCATCCATCCATCATCCATCATCATCTATCCATTATCCATCCATCATCCATCCATCCATCATCCATCATCATCTATCCATTATCCATCCATCATCCATCCATCCATCATCCATCATCATCTATCCATTATCCATCCATCATCCATCCATCCATCATCCATCATCATCTATCCATTATCCATCCATCATCCATCCATCCATCATCCATCATCATCTATCCATTATCCATCCATCATCCATCCATCCATCATCCATCATCATCTATCCATCATCCATCCATCCATCCAACATTAAACCATCCATCCATCCATCCATCATCCATCCATCCCCTTTCATTGCACAAACAGGCTCCACCCATCTACCCTCAGAGTGGTGGTGACTTACCCCAGTGTTGTCATGGTAACGATGGTGTACCAGAAGGCTGCTGGGATGCTGGTGAACTTGCTCCCAGAACCTTTCTCRGCATAGAACATGACGGTGGCGAAGATGATGATGGCCATGGTGAGGGAGAAGAGCAGGAAGCCCAGCTCCGAGGCGCAGCTCTTCAGGGTGTAGCCCAGGATGCGAAGTCCCGCAGAGTGGCGCGAGAACTTGAAGATCCTGAAGACCCTGAAGACTCGCAGCGTGACGAAGGCGCCGCTCACGTCCTCATTGTCGGTCATGACCAGGCCGATGTAGTAGGGCATGATGGCCACCACGTCGATGATGCTCATCACRCTCTTCACGAAACGGTAGCGGCTGGGCGCGGCGGCCAGGCGCAGCAGGTACTCCACGGTGAAGATCAGAACACAAGCTGTGTCCAGGCAGAAGAAGGCCAGCGCGTACCGCTCACCGCACGCCATCTCCTTCACCCGCTTTGCCACAGCGCCACACGGTACCGTCTCCACCACGTTGGCCAGAACCGACACCGCGATGAAGAAGCCCGTGACGTAGTAGAAGACCAGAGCCATGGTGGAGGTGTGGGGGTTCTCGAAGGCCCGCCACATGGTCTCTCTGAAGGTGGCGTCCACAGTTACCACTTCATTGGTCTGCTCRTTGTCCTCGTCGTCCTGGATACGCTCCTGGTTCTCCCGTCGCCGGTCTTTGTACTCCTCGTAGCAGCAGTCCCCGATAATGTCCGGGATGATCCCGAAGAAGGCGAGCTCCTCGTCGTAGGCAGAGATGCACTCCTGACGAGGGTAGTGCAGGGTACCGGTCCGGTAGAAGTTCAGGATGTGTCTGAAGATGTCTGGGTCTCGGTCAAAGAAGTACTCGTTGGTGTCCTGGTGGAAGAAGTACTCCCTCTCAGAGCTGCCCAGCAGAGTGTCGGGGTAACGCTCCAACGTGTCCCGCCACGTCTCAAACTTTGTCCCGCTGACGTTCAGAACCAGAAGCCCCGCCCACTTCTGCTCCGTCTCTGTGGGAGGAGCCGGCATGGGGGTGTTGGCCACCGGCATCCAACCGATGGCAGCCGCCCGCGCAAACGGCATCCAGGCCGCCACGCCGGCTGCCATGGTCACCTGCTGGGGGGGCAGGTTAGGGTAACAGGGAGACAGGTGGGGGGCAGGTTAGGGCAACAGGGAGACAGGTGGGGGTAGGTTAGGGTAACAGGGAGACAGGTGGGGGGCAGGTTAGGGCAACAGGGAGACAGGTGGGGGGCAGGTTAAGGTAACAGGGAGACAGGTGGGGGGCAGGTTAGGGTAACAGGGAGACAGGTGGGGGGCAGGTTAGGGTAACAGGGAGACAGGTGGGGGGCAGGTTAGGGTAAC